GATCTCGCCGAGAAGTTAGGTAAAAGCTGCCCCCTCTTATGCGCTTGAATACAAACATAGCCAAAAGATAGTCCGCATCGAGAGACATTCCGCGCTCGTAGCCTAGCACCAAAATCCCGACAAGGTGCTGCAATCCACTAGGACGTAGCTGGCTGAACGATATGCCAAACCTATCCAAGAACTCGACGAAGGCTCGAGGAATAGGGAACCATAGCTGACAGTTCAGCAGAAAGGCTTCGTAACACGTAAAATAGCCCGGAGGCGGATTCTCGACATCTTGGCCTTGAACGGGAAGGCGAAACTGAACCGACTCAGGGATCGCACGATAATTCCTCAAATCTCTGAGAGAACCGATGGTACTCGCGCTCGGACCGACCATTTTCCTCCGAAGCTTATCCCTCTTCGGAACCCAGGAACCGGAAGGTGGAACATCGGCAGCATCCAAAGCTAACCAATATTCCCAAAATTCTTCCTCATTCGTGGAAAAGCGTCGAAAGATTGGCCTGGGAAGGGCACAGCCGCCGGAAATATCAAGGTCGCTTTGGTCAAAGATTGACGCATGAGCACGATCCAAAGCTTTCCACTTGGAAGACATGTTAAACAGTCAAAAGAGAAAGAGAAGATTTAAAGGAACAAGTAGAGAGAAAACTTCTTGAACCTTAGACAAGTTATGGGAAGAATGAGTGAAGAACTTGAGAACTCACCCCATATACTTATAAGAAAAAGTTTACTATTCACTATTGAAATTTTGGCCATTAAAGTTACGCCTAATTCTACCAAACTTGTCGAACAATTTCAATCCGCTCGCAAGAACTCCACGGTTCTTACGAGCTGGGGGCTAACTGTTGGGGTCAAAATCGGTATGACGGAATCAATAGCCAAAACTTCCCGCAAAAAGATAAAAGAATACGTTTTATAAAACTCGAGAAATCGTAAAAACCGTAGAAAACGAGTTTTTAATAAAAAACGTCGAGTGAATCGTAAAAACGGCAACGATTAACTGAAGAACAAACGTAGCTAAACTTTAGATTAACTCGAGGAATTTACTAAAAATGGCATCGGATCAGGAAACGATCTCGTATAAAGTCGCAAAACGGTTTTATCGCAAAACGGCTCAGAAGGTCCTAAAACGTGATAAAAGCCCATCTCGCGATCTTAACAAAATCTAACCCGAAGATACGATAACGTTTTGACGATTTACCGCAGAAGGAAGATAAATGTCAAGTTTGAAGATAAATGTCAAGTTTGAAGATAAATAGAAGATTTCCGCGGGAAAAAAGGAAAGATGAACACAAAAGGAAGATTCTCGATAAAAACGAATCTGGGCGAATGGAAGGACTAAACCGCCTAGGAAGGGAGTATATAAGCAAGTGGCATAGGGCATAAGCAGAGGAAAAGTTTTCAGAGCTTTCACCACTAAACTTAGCATTTAGGAATATTTCCGTTTTTGTTATCGAGCTGCGTCTCAACTAGGGTTTTCGGTCTTAGACTACTAGAGTTAGGGATTTCGCCAACGTCTCACGCAGCTAAGGCCACTCTTGTTGTAACCGTTCTTACGCATATTCGGAATAAGTTCCTTCTTGCTCTCAATCTCGTTTATTTTCACTTTAATTTCATATTCATCGTTTTCTTAATTGTTCTTGTGCGGTTCCGCAGATAGCCGGGTCCTCTGGGAACTTAGGGTTTATTCAAAGTTCCCTTATTTACGATTCATTGACAGTAGGTGAATTTCGGTTCCCACAATCACAAGGATCACAAGGGGGTAAGCCTCGAAAGTGCAGTAGGTGTGGTGTTAGTGGCCACAACAGAGCAACTTGCAAGATGCCAATATAGTCGAATTGTTCGCAGTGTTTTTCGTAATTTGTTATCAGATTTTCAGACTACATTTACTTGCTTTCTAGTAACTATTTTTCATTTTGGCATATCTTTAGTTCATTTTCTTTGTTTCATTTTTTCAGACTACAAGCATGACTTTAAGTTAATTAGTTTCATGTTTTATTTAAGTTTGATTTTCTTTGTTTAAGTTTCATGATCCCATTCAAGTATTAACACATTGAAACTGCTCAGTCTTACGAGATCGATCGATCTAGGCAACAAGATGTCGATCTATTCGGTCGATCGTGTGACTAATCAGAAAAAGAAAAAAAATGCGGACCATATTTGGATCGACCTTATCGAATTCAGTCGATCGAAACGATCGATCTCTCGTGGATCGATCGATCCTTTAGTACAGCTCGATCGATCTCCTTGAAAATTATCCCAATTTTTTGGTTTTCTTTAGTTAAATCTGATTTTGTTCATTCAAGATTTCACTTATTAAACTACTTCTTTGAAATCAAACACAACATAGCAACATCAAAAATTATTTCCTTCATAATCCTGATTCTTCAAGTTAGAATACAAACCGACTAAAAAAAAATCCAAACAGTGAAAGAAAGGAAACATGCAAATAACTGATCAGCAGGGGTTGTCAGGACTGCAACTCCTACTCTGTCCTGGTGCACGTCTGCTTCTATGAAAGTGTAAACATCGCTCTGCATCTCCTGCTCCACCGGGTGGTGCATCTTCTGTGTCATCTGCCTCTGTAGTATCAGCAGGTTCTGAAGCCTCTGGAGCGCGGCAGCAGGCAGGAGGTGGTGGACATCTAATCTTTGCAAGTTCACCCCAAACAGTCTGCATCATCGTTGAAAGCTTGACCAGGGTATCCGCAGTCCGGGCGAACTGCTGCTGATGTGTACCATCTAATGGTGGGGGTCCAGAATCAAACTGACCAGTATATGCAGGTAACAAATACTCCATGGCAGGGTCTGGAGTATGATCCACTGCGATACCAGGAATGGTGTCATCCTCACATTGAGCAGGACCCGAAGAAGAGGAACCACGACGACGTTTTGAAGCTGGTGGAGGAGGCGTGATAAGAAGCTCAGCAGGAGGCATGAATGTTACGTTCTCCTCAGACGTCAGAGATGTATGGCGGGCTGTGGAAGCTTGCAATGAAGAATGGTGCCATCAGGTTTGATAAAACGATAAACTTTACCAGGGAGGAGAGTCCTGGTGTTCTGAAAAAACTGGGCATCAAATCTGGCAATCGTATCCACACAAGGAGTCTTCGAAAGATCTATTTCATGGTACTTGATGATCCGAGTAAGTAGACTACCAATAGACTCCTCCAAAGGCTTCTTATTAAGATCATGAAGACCTCTAAACTTCCTTTAAAACAACATCTGAGCAAACAATGCTCCCATGTTTACAGAATGCTCTGCTAGAGGTCCTTGTCTAACGCCATACTTTGGCCTGAGATTTACTGGAAGCCCATAGTGAATAAGCTGCGCTTCATCCTCAGTAAGTGATCCTGCTTCTTCCTTTCCCAATAGAAGATGACCCAAATATTTTGAAACCACTCGCAAGACCGGATTTCTAACCATAGCAAGTTTAGCTTCCCTAGAAATAGTAGACTTGTCTGCAATCTTGTTCCACAACATATAAGCACAAGGGAACTTGGGCAAAGAACATGCCTCATATTTGGTCTCAAATCCGAAGAGTGTACACAGCACAGCTAGTGTATAGACATCTCATAAAGCAGTCCATTGGATAGGAATGTAAGTTTACCTTCGCTAGCAACCTTGTTTGCCTCGGACTTGTAGTGCAACTCAACTGAAGAGAGGAATTGTATAACTAACTCCGGATAGATTGGTTGAGGATCATAGCCAAGAGTCCCAAGTCCCATGTTTTTCCACATCTTTTTCACATCACGCAGAATTCCCAACTCCCTTGTAGTGAAGTCAGAAATGAACTTTGTTGGTTTCAATGTCACCCGCAGCAAACCATTGTAGAGAATGCAATGGTAATCACTCCAAGCAGCATTGTAGTCACGGTTTGTGTATGGTGACCATTGTTTCAACACCGTCTTACTAACGATATCTTTTCCACGAATTTTTCTGAGTTCAGAGAATAGAGTCAATGGCTTCCGAGGCCAAGGGGCTGCTTCCTGAGGCGCATTACTCTCGGGCTGAGCTGAGGTCAAGGCAGTTGTTGTGTCACTCTGTGTTGATGCTTCTGCTTTTCTCATTATTATATTTTCCTGTTGTTCTCGCCATTTTTCTGCAAAAAAACAGTAACAAATCAGTTATTAAAAGTTAAACCAGGTAAATTGACATGGATAATGATTCAACACCAATGCTACACATATAATAATGAAGCAATCGAGTTCCCAATTCTTTTTTTTTAAAAGAACAAAACTTCAAATTCATAAATCTATCCTAAAACTTTGATTTAAGGCATGGGGTAGGTACGAAATTGTCTCTAAACATCACCATTACACACGTTTAAAGCCAAAACACCATAACAAACTAAAACAAAATCAACTTTTTCATAGTTTTTTCGAACTCTTAAATTGGAGATTGAGTTTATACCTTTACAGATCGAACGAAAGAGTGATAGATTCAGACAAAGCTCGCGAAATCGTGTGGATTAGGCTCAAGAATCGTCCAAATCAGAGAAAAATTGAGTGAGTTAGGGTTAGTGAAAATCACTTTTTCGAGATGGAGAAGAACATAATGAGGGGTTTGATCCATTACACACGAAATAGTATGTTAAATCGTGTTTGGTCGGTTCTAATCAAGTGTGATTTAAACCGGATATAACCGAGCAAAACCAGAAATCGATTTCGGAGACTTGCCTGGGCACGGGATCGATCGACCTCACCTAGGCGAACGGTCGATCCAGTCCGATCTATCTGTACGATCAATTAGACTCTGAGAAAGTCGATCGATTTATGTTCCGTGTTTTTTTAAGAAACTGCTCAATCACGAGATCGAGCGTATGGATCGACCTTCTGATTCTGGGATCGAGCGATCCCTTTGGGTGGAGCAGTTTCTAATATTTTTTCTCTTATAGTTTCTTATTTATTTACTTTTATTTTTTTTAAAACACTCATTTTAAATATTTAATTGAAATTAAGAATATTAAAAAGCATTAAGAAATTTTCAAATTGAAAAAAACTAAACATTGGAAAAAGGCTAAACATTAAAAATTCCTAAAATAAATTCAAATGAAGTCTAAAAAAAACATCGCCAACAATAATCAAAGTAAAACCATTGTTAAAAAACAATTTCCCTAAAATTATAGTTCAACAAGATCAATACATTCGCCAGACATACGTTTAGGAGGCTCATACTTAGCCACCCTCTCAATCAGCTCTGGATCAGTAGCTGCTTCCCAAAGATCCCACATAATCTTTAGCCGAGCTTCGTTAATGTTATCATCATTCACCAATGATATATCCAGCCCAAGCAAGTGTCATTCAATGTGTTTTAGAGTGTATACACCACAATTACAATTTTGTCGGTTAAAACGTCACATAGGTACATAGGAAACAGTGTACAAAGTGACGGTGAGATGTTTCTGTATTGTCACTGACTGAACATCTTTGACAATCCGAGGAATAAGATGCGCAAAATATTCCACTTCCTTGATTTTTTTTTTACCCCCACAATCAAACACCTGGATATTCCTAGTCACAAAACTGATGCATAAAGCGATCCAATGGTTGCGACTGACCCATACAGGAACGTACATCCGATCCACAGCGACATTCCACAAATTTCCTGTTCTTCCATGAGAAGGCAGTTGACCTTTACCGTATTCCAGTAATAAAGGACCCATCTTGTATTGCTTAATACCCTGACCAAAATTTATGTAATTGTGAGCGATGAGGTCGCTGAAGACGCATGTCATGAAAGCAACACTATCCACTTTCCATCGTTGCAGTGTTGTTCTTTCCCGGAATACGTACATTGCAGCATCAATCTCCTACAGAAAAAGTCAAATCTGTAAAGTAAACAGTTCATATGATATCTAACATTTAATAGAATTTAGCGGTTGAATGCTTACGTAGTTTTGAAGCCAGCTGGTTTTAGATACAACACGCAATCCTAGTTTCTGATCTAGTATAGAAGGACCGAGCAGTAGACCTCTTTAATCAAAAAACAATGGTATAGTTGTCAATTACTAACATCAGAATGATATATACAAAGGAAAAACTTACGTATTTGTATTAGTCCACTCGTGCATCTTCATAAAATATTCTTCACGCACAAACACCAAGCAGCTATCAGGATCATCTTTCCTGGCTTGCTCCATCTTTCGGTCATCTAATCGTGGTGCTGTTATCTTCAAAGATGTTGGAGGTTCAAACCATTCCAAAGAATCTTTGGCTTTAGGTTGAGAAAGATTGAAACCATTAACAACTAGTTCTTCAAAAAGGTCCTTCAAGCAACTTTCCATGACTTCTTGTATACTCATACAAAGATCAATAGCTGATGACTGAGTCAAGTTTACACGAGGTAAATTGACATATATATCATCAGCCTTTAGCTTTTTTTTTTCACAACCTGTTGACAAACATAAAAAGATATCAGAGACTATAATATCATAAACGTCAGGTCCCAAAAAGCATAGTACACAAACAAGTGTCTAAGTTTAAACTTCATCCATTACATAAACGTCAAGTTCGAAATACAAATTACACATACAAACATCAAGGTCAAAATAGAGCCATTACATAAACATCAAGTTCAACGTAGCATATATACAATTACAAAATGTGATGCCACCTAGTTCCAAATTCCAACAACCTAGCTTCAAAGACCTACATTCCATCCCTTGTTCCAAACTTCAAAGTTCCAACAACTCTTAACGCTTTTTTTAGTGGTTACCTTTTTCTTTGATGGAGCTGTCTTTTTGGCTCGTGGTAGGACCAGTGTCGGTTTTGCCTTTGCTAGGAACGTTTGGTTGATCATTCTTCCCTGCCAATTCAGTCACCTGTAAATTTGTCCTGAGCTGTGTAACCTCAGTCTCAATCTTTCCCAATCTGTCAATTACCACTGTCTCAAACTTGTCAATTTTATCCAAGATCTGTTGACTGAGTTTCTCCTCCAAAATCTTAAAAGAATCTTGTACAACACCTTCTAAGAATTTTCGCATATCTGCGTCATTGTTCCCTTTCGATGAAGCAGCTAGCTGGCACAACACCTTCTTCTTCCTTGACTCTGCTCCTTGGTCCGCATGCTTTCTCTTGTTTCTTCCCGAAACATCAATTGTGCCATCAACATTTTTTGCGGCATGACTATTCTCGCCAATCTCAGTAACAGCTGCTTGATCCTCCTCTCCTTCCTCTCCTTCTTCTTTGTCCTCTCCTTCTTCTCCTTCCTCTCTTTCCTCATCGTCAGCTGCCTCAAATTCAGACTTTGTAGTTTCTTTTACTCTCCAAACATGATTACTCCAATGATGTTTTCTTTGGATCATATCAAGAATGCGATCCACTCTTTCATCTTTTTCTCGTCTTTTCTTAAAAATTCTCCATCTCTGTGGATCTCAATGAATGAATATAAAATCCCCTACAGAAGAATCAAATAATTAGTAAAGTAAACAAGATAATCCAAAGAAACTTTAAAAGAAACTATATGAATACCTTCTTTGGAAATAAAGTCTCAACGCCAAAAATATCTTCATAAGAACATTTAGCACATCCTGTCCAATTACCACACCGAGAACCTGTAAAGTTGTGACTGGCTTTTGTGCCACAAATTTCTCATACAGTAGGAATAGCTTCCATAATCCAAATTTGGAAAGCAAACAAGAATCCTTCCATCAGGTACCCCTCATTTTGCTCCAATTTACGCATTGCCTTTTCCATCGATTTCAGTACGAAATCAAATGAGTACATACCCCAAGGGTAGTTCCGAAGCTTCTCCAAATCCATCACCAACTTCATGTTGAGAAGTGGGATATTCACCTTCTCATCCCTCCCCATCACCACACCCATAATGATACATAGATAGTGGGTAATGTTGCTCCAATACCTAACCACATGGCCACCACAGTGCCAATCAAAAAGACGGTTGTCGCGACTGGACGGCTCTCTCTGAGTCCCCGCTAGCTTTCAAGCGTTCAATTCAATATCTCTCCCAACGCAAGGAAACCCCGGTTCGTTCGGAAGTAACCGCATGCGCTCACCTATCCATCAACCAAGACAGAAGGGAATGACCAACCAAGCGAGCATAGCCCAACTACCAATCGCTTTTTTTTCAGATTTGGCGAGCATCTGGAATACAGTGGTCTCTGATCACACTCGAAATTATGTATCTACTTATCGTATTTTTACCCCTGCTCGGTAGTTCCGTAGCAGATTTTTTTAACCCAACACCTTACGGCACGAGCTGACGACAGCCATGCACCACCTGTGTCCGCGTTCCCAAAGGCACCCCTCTCTTTCAAGAGGATTTGCGGCATGTCAAGCCCAGGTAAGCTCTCGGTTCGAGAAAGAAAAATAAGAGGATCGAACCATTTCTTTTAACCCCCCCCCCCCATTTATTGTATTGCTTTCCGATCTTATCGGGTGAATTCAATAATAGACGCCTGGTGGCATTCCAGCCTTCCTTCTCCTTTCAGGACCTATCCTAAACAGAATCCAGGCTGTGATAAGAGGACGTTTCCGTACCCCCTTACCTACCTTCCCAGTCATTCTTGATACAATTTTTAAATATTTGATCTTTCGTTATTTAAATCACCCTATCAACCCAAATCCAGCTACTACTCTCTTCCAAATACTATTTTTTTATAATCTGCAAGTTGATTTTCCCACGCGTCCTTATCTGGTGGCTCCAAAAACCATCATCATCACTCCATTTCACTGACCCACTGGTCTTCTCTTGCTTCACTTTCAGACCAGTGATAGCATGATAATCTTGAAGTCCAAAACGCAGAGGCCTCCTTGCAAATGTAAACCACTTCTCATGTTTCTTACTTGTCATCAACTACTTACACAAGAAAGAATGTACCAGCCTCGCCGAGAACTTTAGATCATTCTTCTGAATATCTATAATATGCGAGAAAATGGGATCTTTCATCACTGCATCGAATTCTGACTTCAATTTTTCCTCTAGCAACTCGAGAAGTCTTAGTCGACAGCTGTTATTAATCTTCTTAACCTGAGGTTCCAAGCCCTCACCGTATAGACGACCAGGCAACTCAAACTCCATACCTGAAATTTTCAAACAGTAACTATCAATAACCAATGACACAACTCAGTAAAATAATAGCTATTAAAACTCTATCAATAACCAATGCAACTCAACTCAATATCATAGGATCAAAATTCCCACGATTTCAATTTTAAATTTTGGTTTACTTGAAATTTTTAAGAACAAAACCTAAAATTCCTAAATCTACCCCAAAACTACGATTTAAGGCATGTGTTGGGTACGAAATCATCCTTAAACATCATCATTACATACGATTCAAGCCTAAACATCATAACAAACTAAAAGAGTCAACTTTTTCATAGTATTTTTGAACTCTAAAAGTGGAGATTGAGTTTCAAACCTTTGCAAATCAAATAGAAGAGTGATAGATTCGAAAAAAATTCGCGAAATTGTGTGGTTTAGGCTCAAGAATTGTCCAAATCAGAGCAAAACTGAGTGAGTTAGGGTTTATGGATGAGGAACCTCCACTGTCTACCCTTTTTACGTGATGGCTGAGAAGAGAGTGATGGGTTTGATCCCAAAAACACGAATTAGTAGGTTAAATCGTGTTTACTCGATTCAAATCAAGTGTGAATTAAACCGGATATAACCGAAGAAAACCATGAAATCGAGTTGAAAGAATTATCTGGGATCGGGATCGATCGATCTAAAAGAGAGATCGATCGATCTTTGATATATCGATCGGTGAATATCGACTGAACTGGACAAGGTCGATCAGTTTCTGCTCCGTTTTTTTATATTTTTTTTTAATCATCGAGATTGACCGCTAGGATCGACCGACTCTTTCTGAGATCGATCGATCCTGTCGTATAGAGTAGTTTCTTTCGTCTTTTTTTTTTTCCGATTTGAAGATTTTTATTTTAAATTTTTTTTACGATTTTTAAGTAAATTTAAGGGCATTATTGCCATTTAAAAAAATATTTAGCCTAATGGGACATAAAGTACTAGAGATTAGTCTAAAGGGAAAATATTACCATTTTTTGGCCTAAAAAACTATTTTCTCTAAAACGATTAGTATCTCCAATTCTATTATTTATAAAATTGGTATTTAATAACCGTTCTTTCTACGGCATATTTTAGGAAACTATTTTTTTGGCTTGCATCCAACAAAAACAGCTACAGAGAAAGAAAATAACAAAAGAAAAAATTAGGATTTAACAAGAACAAAGTATTTTCAGGCCAATATATGATCAAGGAAAAGATAAATACAAATTACAGACAAAACAAAATGAAAGAGCCTTTTCTGGAAATAAGTGTATTCTTATTTCTATTCTGAATAATTCTCTCTTGCTCTTTAAAAATATATACTTTGTTTTTGTAGCCTGGAGAAATCTTACTCAGTGGCTAATAACACTGATGTGATGGAGGCGTTCAAATTTAAAGATGTGGAAAACAACAACAAAATACGTAACACTCTATCAAGGGGAAAAGGTATGAACAACTTTTTTTTTTGTCATCAGGTATGAACAACTATTATGATGCAAATTGAGTATTTATAAATTTAATTGTTATAATTTGAAAATTTAAAAATTTGTTTCTTATAACAGAGCGTACTCAACTATCTTAGGATTTTTTACATAAAATTTTATATTTTACGTACATGTTTAATAATAGGTTTTATTATATTAACCTTATAGAAATTTATAGTTCATAATTCAGAAATCATTAAATGCAAGAAACAGTTAACCCGTACTTAGCAATATACATTATATAAAACAAAATAATATTAATAGAAAATCAAAATCCTATTTATGAGTAAATATTTTAAATGCTTAAATATGTTAAATTTAAATGCTTAAATATGTTAAACTGTGTAAAATGGTATCTAACTGAGTTTTCAAAGTTGTGAAGTTATATGGTCTAATCATCATTCAATTTGGTTTTGCGATAAATGGTCAATTCATTGGACTATCGAATTATCTAATGTATGATAGTCAAAATAAATTAAATAAATTACTATTTTTAGAGAATTATACATATTTATTTTATATGGCTATTTTATTTAATATTAATATAGTATAGTGAATTCATTTATTTTTCACTTAACTAGTTTTGAAAATCAGTTAAAAGAAAATATAACCAAGTTAAGAACTTGTACATTGAAACAAATCAAAACAAATTATGACTATAATTTTATAACAGGCTAATATATCTGATTGAAAAAAAAAATTCTCTAAATTATTTATCTGCAAACGAAGAAACTATGAAACAAAAGAATTTATAATAAAAAAATCTAGAACATCTACTCCTAAGAAACTATACGACTACCTCGGGATAAACACCACAAAAAGTTTATAGGGAGAACAACTCTTGTTGTTTTGAATCTTACCGTAATCCTCAGTTATTCTCATTTCTATGCAGCTTATTCAAGCATGGTATTTTATCCAGACACAAAATCGAATCTGAACCGAATACAAAAAAAACTAAGCTCAAACCAAAAAGACATAAAACACCGAACAAGTATTGAGTTAGGAAGGACTCGATATTCGAATTCGAATCTGAACCCAAAAAAAATAATCGAATATATGTATACTTAATCATGTATTGCTAATTTGCTTCTTTTATTTTATTCAAATTATTTATATTAATATTGCACATGACTAAATATCAGATAAGATATATATATACACATTAGGAAAAATTGCATCCAAATTCTCAATTCGAGTAACGAATAATCTGAATGTTTTATTCAAAATCTAAATATCTGAACACAACCCAAATAACCGAACCTATACTAAGAATATATGAATCAAAGTTGATAGATAAAAACATTTGAATGGGTTCTAGACTTTTATCACTACAAGAAAACACGCGAAATCTGTCGGCCAATTTCGTCAGAATTTCGTCGGAAAAAGGCAATTCTGACAAAATTCCGACAAAATGAGTCGTCAGAAATAACTCGTCGGAAAAAAAAAAGTTCTTCGGAATTTCGTCACAACGAAATTCCGACGAGTGCCGACGTACAGAATTCAGATGAAATTTCGACGGACATATTTTTGACGAATTTCCGACGAACAACTTTCTGACGAATTATTTTCCGAAGAAATTTTGACGAAATAATTTCCAACGAAATTCTGACGAACATATTTCCGACGAAATTCCGACGGACTTTATAAATTAATTTGAAAAAAAATAAATTGATTTTATTTAAATATTTTTTAATTAAATATAATAATATATAAAAAATTTTAAAATTATAAAAACGTTTTTGCAATAGAATTATTTTTTAACAATCATATATAATAAATATTTTTAATTCTTTATATATATATTATTAAAATTAAAAAAAATTGTGGTATAATTTTTTTAAAATCCTTTATAATAAATGTATTTATAAATTATTCAAAACATAAAACAGTTTAAAATTGAAAATATTTTTAAACAAAGATAATGTATTTTTAAATTTTTTATTAACTTTGTGTAATTGAAACCTTTTTCTAACAACTGAAAAGGTTTTAATTAAATCTAAAAAACAAAAACATTTTCTTGATAGAAAAGGCTTTTAAAAAGGTGAAAAATGTTTTGATAAATTTTAGAAACCAGAAAACGTTTTATAAATTATAAAAATCTTGTAAGAAAAATATAAACTTAAAATGTTTTATAAAAAACTTAAAAAGTTATAAAAATTTATAAAAACGTTTTGATACAATAATAGATAATAAAAACTTGAAAATATTATATATATATATATATATATAATAAAACGTTTTATATATCCAATAATTATATATAATATATTATTGGAAACCCCAAAATCGTTTTTAAAAATCAAAAAATGTTTTAAAAAATCAAAAACGTTTTAAAACACACACATTATAATTCCAAAAAAAAAATTAAAACAACCAACCAAACAACAATCCTAATTAATATATCCTAAACTATCCATTCAATCCTAAACATACAAATCAAACAACCTCAGATCTTAAGATCTAACTTTCTTAACCCTAGAAAACGAAATAAACAAAGGTTTTTAGGAATCTTACATGCTTTGTGGGTGTGGGGTAGAGATTCGTGATTGGGAAGAGGAATCGCTGGAGTTGGGAGCTGTTGAACTGCCTCTGTCGCCTGAGAAGAGAGAGAACTCGGAGAGATTAGAGAGAGAGAGAGGCGGAAATGATGAAGAAGAAGAAGTAGGATTTTTATATTTAATGATTCCGACGGAACCCATTCCATCGGAATTCCGTCGGTATCATTAATTAAATATTAATTGGCGGTTCGCGAAATTTTTCATGCGGTTTATTTTTCGGGTAAAATGATAGTCCGACGGAATTAGTAAAGTCGTCGGTATTCCGTCAGAAAATGTGTTTGTCGGAAAGTCGTTAGTTTTTTCAGACGGATTACTGACGAATTATTCATACGGAATTCTGACGACTTAGTGTTTAGGGGTTGATTACAAGTTTCTAAATGCCAAAGCCAAATCTTTGATAATATATATAGCATTTTCATAAAGATTTAACTATAAAAATGTTTTTATAACATGATTTTACACAAAAACATTTTTGTAGTGTAAGATTAGATGAATATGATTGTATAAGTATATGAGTGTTATGATGATATGCTATGAAAACAATGATATACATTCATAAATATTTTAGTGAGTTGTTATATTTGAACGGTTACAAGCTAATACTATACTAAACACTTATTATGTGTTATTTTCATAGTTTCGGTATCCAAATTTATATATTTTTTTTATTACAAAATTTTTAAAAACACAAGTCCTCAGAAATTCCTCAGAATATTCCGAGGACATTCCGACGAACTTGCTTAGTTCGTCAGAATGTCCTCGATATATTCTGAGGAATTTCCGAGGAACTTGTCCATTTTGAATAAAACCACAGTTCGTCACTATATCGTCGGAATACCGACAAATAATATATATAGTATTTGCATAAAGGTTTAACTATAAAAATGTTTTTATAACACAATTTTACACAAAAACATTTTTGTACTATAAGATTAGATGAATATGATTGTATAAATATACGAGTGTTAAGATGAGCAAGATGTTATGAAAATAATCATATACATACATAAATATTTTAAAGAGTTGTTATATTTGAACGGTTGTGATCTGATATTATACAAAACACTTAATTATTTTCATAATTTTGGTATCCAAATATATATAATTTGATTTAATTTTTTAAAAAACATAAGTCCTCAGAAATTCCTCAGAATATACCGAGGACATTCCGACGAACTATTCTGAGTCAGATTCTCCTCACCATCATCATCTTTTGGTTTGTGAAGGCATGCAAATTCTATTATAAGTCGCACTGAATAATGAAAACTCATTTGCAATGCTTTCTTGTATCATTTCAAATAGGGTTGACGAGTTGTATACACACAAAAACTATCTTAATATATCAAATGTCTTCGAAACTATAATCACATTCTATATATTTCCAAATGTAAGGTTTAGAATCCAGATTCACACATATTAAAAAGTTTAAAACTCTGAATCCCCCGAATTTTCCAAAATTCATATATGTCAATAACATTGGTTTAATATTTTATAATCAAATTATAAACCTTATAAATCAAATTTAAAACCAAATTAATATCCTTTAAAGAATCACTGAGCTATTTGTAATGAATATTAGATTTGGTTTTAAATCTGATTTATAAGGTTCATGGTTTGTTACAAAACATTAAACCAATTTTAAACCAATGCAATTAAGGTTTATGTGTTATGGAGTTTTGAATTTTAATATTTGTAGGAGATACACACAGGGATATGTAGAATGCGGTCGATTGGTGACATCTGATGTTACTGAAAATATCTTTCGACCAGTTAAAATATGTTCTGTATTTGTAAGTTGATAAACATTTTCGTTTGAGTCCTACAAGTTTCAGCGTTTTGTTGGGACGTGTATGCATGATGTGATGATTCAATGACAACAACAAAACACAAAGTAAGGGTATAAACGGAAAGTAAAGTATAAAATAGAGAATGCCAATAATGTTCAAAGGCCATTAATTTCCATCTGTTCCCCTCCCCCTACCAACCAATATTCTTCTGAGAGTATAGAGTTGCAAAACTCTTCACTTTTTTTTTGTCTATTGCTTATAAAGTTTTACGTTGTGTTTGTCTGAACAATGGTGAGTTCCTCAAAGACGATCTCTGTTTCACGTGCCTCAAAGAAGTCTCGATCTCCTACACCCCCGAAGAAGATTACTGTTAAGGTCAAGACCCAACAGGTCTTCCTCACTCTCCTCTCTTCTCTCTTTCCATCTTCAAGCTTTTCATGGCTTGTCTGATAATATATTGTTTTTGTTCTTTTATCTTTCCACAGATAGTCTTTTGCATTTCCTCCTTTTCGTCAAGTTTTTTTTTTCTCGCCCTTTGAGTTTCCTCTACTAACTGTACCAAATGTTTATTTTTCATTTCCTCCTTTTCGTCAATTGTTTATCTTAACACCTTTGCTTTTTCTTCTATACAAATATTATACTTTTTTTTTATTTTTGAAGATTAAGAAAGGATTTACGACATCTTCTTTAGAAATCTTAATGTATTAAAAAGAAAATGGAAATGTACATTTTTTATTGTAAACAGGATGGAGTAGAGGATGTATACAAAATAAACTATAGTACGCAGCTGAAGAAACTAATGGATGCATGCTGCACCAAGAGAAACTTGGAAGGCACTGTCAGATTCGTCTTCGGCCAGAAACAGCTCAATCCACGAAGCACTCCTGCTCAGGTTTTTCTATTTCCATTTTTTTTTACTTTCTATTTTTTCACCTATTTAACTCCTGTTAATTAATGTTTTTACACAGTTGAAGATGAAAGATGGCGACCTCATTGATATTGTCACCGATCAAGACGGTGCTTAATCTCGCCGGAATTTCTTGATCATTTCCCGACTTGCTCGCAGAACAATGAAGTGATTTTTAGGCTTTTTTTTTAAGAAAACATTTTAACTAATTAGATGTTTATTGTCTAAGACATTTTGAGTTTCCGGTTTAAAGTTTGTTGTTGTTGCATCTTAAAACTTTGAACATCTTGCTGGGCTAAGTTCTCGATCTACTTAAGAAACTTCAGCAGTTCTTGTTCCAGTCTTCGGTTAGATTGATAAACTAGTACAAATAAAAAGATACGTGTCTGAAAGTGTCATCTTTTATATCTTAAACAACTATTTTTTTTTTTTGCATTTACAAACTTTTCTTTTCTGAAAGATTCATCCTCCTGGAAAGGATCAAAGGAAACTAAGCATCATCCACCATGCTTCAATTCACCGGTATCAAACCAAACAAAGAGTATTTAATTCTACATCTTTATTACATTGTATATGCTTCGGATCCCTTTTAAATATTATTATATTTAATATTTAATTTACAAACTTTTTGCTCATAAAGTGAACAAAAATTAGTTTCACGTCTTAGAGCATCTCCAATGTATTACTCCATTTTCTACTCCAAAAGAATATTTTTAATATTATATTTATTTCAAAATTAGGAATATCACGTTTCATTTATACTATTTGCAAAACAGTCCATTTTAAATTTATAGCATTTCTATTAAATACAATATTAACCACAACTAAATTTTTATTATATAAATAAAACTACTCAACAAGGTTTTAAAAGAATACATTTAATACACTAAAAATTACATTATATAGCTTAAACACAATAAAACATCAATTTAAATTATTCATGAGAATTATAATAATTTTCCCACAAATGATCAACTAATGCATTTCGAAGTAAAAAATGAGCTTCTTTATCTTTGATTTCTCTGAAATGGGAAAGAAACTTTTGGAACCTCACATTATTATTTTCTTCAATTTCAATTTTCCTGGACATGACTTCTCTTTCAACTTCAATTGGCACCTCGAGATCACAATCATCTTCTATTATCATGTTATGTAAGAATTTAATAATATTTTATCGGATTATTTTAATAATTTTAATGGATCCAAAAATGATTTATCGGATTATTAAGCAATTATATTTGTTGTAAGTTTTATTTTATGTTATTTCTTTTGTATGGTGCTTATCTTTCATTTTCTATATGTATGATCTTTTATGTTTTATATTATATATATTATGTTGTATAAAAGAGTTCATCAGATGGTTATTTATATAATTAAAAAATATTAACAGTAATTTTATAATATATATAGTAAAATAATATTAATATACTTATTTATAATAATATTTTTATTAAAGACGAGGCTATTTATATAATTAAGAAATATTAACAGTAAATTTTCTAATATATAGTAAAATAATATTAATATACTTATCTATAATAATATTTTATTAAAAATGAGGCTATTTATATAATAAAGAAATATAATAGTAAATTTTATAATATATATAGTACTTATTTATAATAATATTTTATTAAAAATGAAATATATATAAATGTGGAGGACTATTTGATAAATAAAAAAGTTCAACTCCATTTTGGAGTAATGAGTTGGTTTACTCCATATTTGGAGTAATCATGTTTGTTACTTCATTTTGGAGTGAGTTTTGAAGTAGGGTTGGAGATGATTTTACTGCAAAATGGAATTTGGAGTGGGTTTTGGAGTGGAGTTGGAGATGCTCTTATGAGCTATTGAAAGTTTTAATCATTGCCAACAAACTTCTCCGTGGATGTTGAATAAAACTGAATCACTTTCACAAGAAAATCGACAGAACTAGGGATGGGGATTAAGGGTCCCAATAGATTTTTCGGTCTAGGTTTTAATCGGATTTCGGATATTATAAAAGTTCGATTCGGATTTGATTTGGAGTTTAGTCGGATTAGTTCAGAGTTTATTCACATATTCAAAAACAGATTGACCTCAATATAATTTGGATTTCCGATCTTAATCAGGTATCTGTTCTAAAACTATAATTTATATTTAATTATACCCTAAAAGTACTTAAAATATATTAAAATAAAGAAAATTTATTCGAATGTGTTGTATTTTATGAACTTAAATCACATATAATGAAATATAAAATATGAAAGTTAACAAATAACCATTTATAAAAGTAAAAATTATTTAAATTTAAAAATAACAACATTGTTTAAACTTCAAAATAAATTTATTCATAATTTAAACTTCATATATAATATCAAACATAAAACATTAATATTAACCAAATAAAAATATATATTAGATTAAGTATTTGAGTTAATTATTTATGTAATAGCTCATTATTGTAGATACTTAATAACATTTTATTGTGTTTTTGGATACATATATAAATTGAGATTGAATATAGTACAATTTTTTGAAAATTTTGAAATGTTGGGCTTCTCGGATATTTATTTAATTTTAGATTCGGTTCCGGTAAAACTCATAACTCAAAATACCGTAAAACAATATCCATTCCATATTTATATCGGGTTTTGATCAATTCGTATTCATTTTATCTGATCAGGTTCGGTTTATTTACCTAACCTTAAACAAAACTATACATCTTTTTTTTTGTTTGGCCAAATAATAATAATTTGATTCCTGGTTCTTTTTTGGGTCAGTTAATAATACATCGCATTTGAAAAATAAATAAAATAATACATTTCATTTTTGTTATATACCGAAACACTTGATCCGAACGCATACAATTAAGCATATATATGTTCTTAATTGTAGCTTTTTAGGGACGTGAGGGAATCTAAAAAAGACTTCTCTCTCCTAAGGTGATTTTCTTGCGATTAGATCTCTCGTCCCCTTCCTCGTTGGTTGGCCTTTCGATGTCACCATGCCTGCTAAGAAGAAAAAAAATTCCTTCCTCCAATTCTGGTCTCTGCGAAAGCTGCTAAGTTTGTCAGTGCTGTTAGATGTTTAAATCAAGCTAGGCTGAAGAGTAAATCCCTTTCTCCCATCAATGGATTGTCCATGGATTTCGTTAGCTTCTGGATCTGTGAATCCCGCGGATAAATCTCTTCTAACTAGTGCTATCTCTTCTGACTAGTGCTTCTGAAGGGTGTGCTATGGAGGTTGAATAAAAGGCACTTTAGTGGTATTTCACAGCGAGTTCGGGAGAAGACAGCTAAGGTTGATATACTACAGAGATCCCTTCTTACTGCTCCAGACCCAGTAACAGCTAGAGAAGAACGTGAACAGAGTGCCACGCTTAACATTCTCCTTTCAGCGGAAGAGAAATTCTATCGGCAGAAATCAAGGGTGAGATGGGCTGATGTTGGAGATAGGAATATACCTTTTTATCATCACATGGTGTCTCAGAACGCAACGTGGAATCATATCCACTTTTTAAGAGATGAGAATGGCACATTTATCTCTTCGACGGAAGCTTTGAAACTCCACTCCGCAAGTTATTTTCAGAACATTTTGGGTGCTACTGACCTTCCTTCTTTGCTAGCAACGGTCGAGGACCTTCAGGGTCTGCTTCCATTTTGCTTCTCTGAGTTACAACAAGCTTATTTGAGTCAACATGTGCATGATTATGAGATCAGGGCTACTATTTTACGATGCCACTTAACAAAAGTCTTCGGCCAGACGGATATTCAGTCGAGTTCATTAGAGCATCATGGGATACTGTGGGTGCAGCTGTCATCAGTGATGTGGGGGGGAGTTCTTCCGTAATAGGAGGCTGTTGAAGGATTTAAATACCACTGCCATAGAATTGATACCGAAAAAACTGAGGCTTGCAGCTTGGGGGACTATAGACCCACAAGTTGTTGTAATGTGGTGTATAAAATAATTTAAAAAATCATTGCCAACAGTTGAAGCCTATTCTACAAGAATGTGTAAGTCCTAATTAAGCTGTGTTTATAAAAGGCCGGAGTTTAGGTGAGAATGTTCTACTGGCGACTGAGTTTATTCGTGACTATAAAAAATCCTCATGCCTAAAGAGTGGGATGCTAAAAGTTGATGTCCGGAAAACTTTTGACACGGTATGTTGAGACTTCATCATAAAAATTCTAAAACTGCTAGGTTTTCCGGTAAAGTTTATCACCTGGATCAAGGAATGCATATGTTCCCCAAGGTTTTATGTTGTAGTAAATGGTGAGCTTGCATGTTTCTTTGCTGGTGAGAAAGGCCTCAGACAACTGGATTCTATGTATCCATATCTCTTCATTATGGCCATGGAAGTGCTTCTAAACTGTTAAGCAGGGCTGATCAGGCTGGCGCTTTCAGAATTCATCCTCTTTGTTCTTCCCCGAGGTTAACTCACCTTCTTTTTGCCGATGATCTCCTTGTATTTTCCGATGGGTCTCGTTACTCAGTAGCAGGATTCAAAGATGTTATGACAGTCTTCAAGGGATGGTCAGGGCTGGACATGAATGATTCTAAATCTGAGATTTTCTTTGGTAGGTACACGGATATTCAGGCTTTGGTTCTTAGAAATTTATCAGGCTTTAAACGTGGTTCCTTTCCCACAAGGTACTTGGATTTACCATTAGACCCCAGAAGAATTAACATGACTACTTTGCAAACTTTTCTGGAAAGGATTACAGCAAAAATGCATTCATGGACAGTGAAGGTCCTCACTTTTGCAGGGAAAGTTAAGCTCGTTTACTCTGTAATATACCGAATGGTAAATTTCTGAAGCTTGGTGTTTGTATTGCCAAAAAGATTCTACGAAAAAGTGGACTCTCTTTATTCAGCTTTTTTATGGAAGAACAATACCATCTCCGCGGCTGGAGCAAGAGTTTCCTGGTCAAACATCTGCAAACCAAAAGCTGAAGAGGGTTTAGGTATGCGAAATCTTGAGGAGTTTGAGCTTGTATTCGGTCTTAAAAGGCTTTGGAACTATTTCACTAACTCTCGTTCCTTATGGGTGGCTTGGTTATCTTCTTATATTTTTTATGGACAGAAAATCTGGGTAATGGCTGATTCTCAGCGGTTTTATAAGGAAAGTTAGGAGTATGCTTCAGCTAAGGTAATTTCCTCATCAGTTTCTGCACTGCTCAATCATGGACGGACAATCTGCCTCGTTTTGGTTTGATACTTGGACGGATCTTGGGCAGCTCTTTTCTATCTTTGGCTCTCGAGGACCAAGAGATCTCCGCATTCCTCATGATGCAACTGTTGCCTCTGCAGTTCTTAACGGACATTGGAATCTTCCCTCCGCAAGGTTGGATAACGCAGAAACATTACAAATTGTGCTCTTTACCATGGCCACTCCTTCAGCAACCAATGGCAAAGACATATACCTATGGAGAGCTCCTTCGGTGGATTCAACACTAGCTTTTCCTCAAGGGTCACTTGGAATATGTTGCGAGTTAGATCTCCGATTGTGTCGTGGCATGACACAGTGTGGTTCAAAGAGGAAATTCCCCGTTGTTCCTTCATTACTTGGCTTTCATATCTACAAAGGCTTTCGACTAGGGACGGCTCCTCTCTTGGGGTTTGGCAGTTCCAGATGCTTGTGTCCTATGCGTTGTTGGTTTGGAAACGCATCAGCATTTATTCTTTGGTTGTACTTACGTCTCTTATGTATGGTCCTATTTCTGTGGCAGGTTTCTTGATTCTCCTCCATTAGATCTTCATGTTGTGGTTCAGCTTTGTCAGCAATTCCAAGGACAGCATGCTCCTCAAGTCATCATCATCTATTAGCTGCTCCTACAGGTGATTGTCTACAGCCTAGGAGAGAAAGGAATGCTAGAATCTTCAGGGGTTCTTCTGTCCCCATGCTCTTTTTAGAGTGATTGATCGCTCAATGAGGGATAGACTACTATTGGTACCTTATGTCCCTTCCTCGGCTCACTTTCTGCTTCAGCTCTACTTCTGGTTCGTGGATCCTTACAGCTAGATTTATCTCTTCCGGCCGTGTTCGTCTGCGTCGAGTCTCCTTTTATCACTGTTGTGTAATATGTTCTCTCTCTTTCCTCTCTTTTTGTTGTTGTAATAAGTTGTGTTTCACAACATTATAAAAACTGAAAATTGGTATAAATTTTAACATTTGCACCAAAAAAATATCTATGTTCTTATAGATTATTGTATTATTTCATATTATTCCTATCTTATGTTACAAAAGGTAGGATGCCATAATTTTTAAACTAGGAAGTCCACTAAATATTTGGGAGACCTAATTTTTTTTTTTTTTTGAACTAGGGACCCCTAAGTATTCATAACTGAATCAAACTGAGTCCAAATATAAATCGTCATGATTTTTTTTTTTTTTTTTTCTACAAACATAAAAGCCCACTTACTTCGTTTCATCAATTCTTAATGGGCCCGTCCGTTGTAAGTAACCCAAAATGCGCAATGAAAAGCCTTCTAGAGAATGAAGTATGTTTATTAGTTGTAATTACAGTAAAAAGAAAAAATCAGGAAGAAAGAAGGGTGTTTCCGTTGCGATGATGATGAACGTTGAAGGAGAAGAGGCCAAAGAGATGTTGCTTGTACGGTAAATACGATCTTCTCTTCTCTTCTTCCTTCTTCGCTTTCTTCTTCAGATAAAACTTCTCATGTGCCGAAGAAACCTTCTCTTCCTTCTTCTTCTTCTCCTTCTCCTTCGATGATTCCTCTCTGTTTGTAGAACTCGACGAATTCAGAAAACTAAGCGATTGTTTCCCTTCGCTGTAACTTCTCTTCAACAAATCCCTAATCCTCCACCGTCTCGACGACGATGATGATGATCCCGTCGATTTGCTCTTTCTCCAACCACCCTCGGGCGGTTTCTCCGGCGTGCATGGACCGTAAACCTCTCTGGAGACTCCGTCAATCTCTTTCTCTTCGTCGGACGAAGATGACGACGAATCGTCGCGGTCGCGTAGGAACAGATCACTTAGTTTAGTCGTAATCTCCGCACGAGAAGACTCGTCGGGTTTCACGGAGGAGATTATAGCCTGATTGAAAACCGGAAACACGAGATCGCAGCCGCCGGAGAAAGACGCCGCCGCCTCACAGTCCGATCGTGGATTCGCGAATTCGAAGCTATCGTCGTCGTCTTCGTCGTTGTATTCACCTGAAAATTCACGTCGAACTCGCTCGGCGGTTTCGGCGAGTCCGTTGTTAGCGTAACTGCTAAAGCTAGGACAAAACGACGCCGTGTAATCATCGGCTTTCTCCATTTAATATTCTTTTTTTTTCTCGAGTAAAACCATGAGGCTTTTCCCTGTGTATATATAAGAGGAGGAAACTGTTGGTATTCATGAACATAATGGCAATTGTGTTTAAGTAAAAGGAAATAGTGAAAGCGTAGACTTTCTAGAAGCATTAATTGGATCAATAAAGTTTAGGTAGGGATTAGAATTGTAATTAATTAGATGAGAATGAGGTATTACTTGACTCTTTTGTAGTATTTGGATGATTTACTGACTAACAATCTACTAAAAGTAGTAACATATCTTTATTTGACCAGATAGATAATTATTACGTAACAGATGTCAAGTTGACTATTAGATGTAATGTTTTGCTTATCGTCAAACGTAGATCCTTTTTGAGAGTCAAGTTTATCTAGATGTAAATTTGGCCTTAAAATAGACTATGGGTATTAATAAAGAGATTAAACAGGCATGTAATTGGCTCTGCAAGAAGATTTGTGGATCTATACGACATGCTTTTGCCTTCATCATAGGTAAAATTCCTATCGAGAGATGAGAAATAAGTTAAATTTGTTGCCAAACCCTTCTTTTCCGATAGATTAAAAAAAAAGAATAATTACAAAATTTTGGTGGAGTATAAAGTAAACTCTTGATTTTAGAGATCACAAAGATTTCAATCTCATCTTGCTTGCGAACCAAGTCTAGAGATAGTTACATCACCTTACTTCCTTAATAGTCTGACTTCTAAAATTTGAATATTTGTGGCACACCAACCCTATGGAGGTGGACACCTCAAAGTTTTTACCATACCGATGGAAAAGCTAGATGGGAGCCCAACATCTCTTCAGAGAGGGATCGAGGCAAGATACATGTTCAGGTTTTAATACAAAGTTTAGGTCCAAGTAGACACTTCTATCAAGTTTTTTTTGGGTAGGTTGTGTATGCCAAAGTACCAATAATGGAAACACAACGTAATCATTTTTTTCTCAAAAAATCATTATATTGGTATTAGAATGATTTTACAACAGAATCTATACTATTATTTGCGACGTTATTTTTTGCAGCGGAGCTCTCATGTTAAAAGTTGAAGTGATTAATATCGTTTATACCCTTAATAAATAAAATATAAACCAACTAAAAATAAAAACGAATTTAATACTTATTTGATTAGATAAATGATTTAAATTAATAATAATGATAAGAGTTATCCATAATCTAAATATATATTTAAAAATAAAATAAAAAGATTATATATATATTGTGTTGTTATCCGAAAAATATATTTTTGATAAAAAAATTAAAAAACAGAAAACACATAAATAAATATTCACAAAATAAATTTTTAATTGTATATAATTCAAAAGAGAAATTGAAAAAAGTAGAATACGTAATTATTTTCAAATTAAAATAATAGAATAATATAATAATATAATATAATGATATATATTCGTGAAGTTATTTTTCGCCTCTGAACTCACACGTTAAATTAAATTTATGTTTATTTTTTATATAGTTAAACCTTAAACATGAATTAATCATATAAAATAAAAGATCATTCAAAAAGAAAGAAAATACGTGTTTGACAAAAATAAATTCAAATATATTGTATTATTATCCAAACTAATTTTAAACTTTCTGTAAGATCAATTTTTGAATGTATATTTATCGATTCAATTTTTCAAATTGAAAGATAGATTTCTATATTTTTTATCAATTACGTAGAAATGAAATAGACTTTAGATTTTTCAAAATTTTAAAATAAAACATAGATTTTTTAAAAAAAAATTCAATAACTTTATCAATGTAAAAAAGTTTAATGTTTTAGGTCGAATTATTTGGATGCAAATAATCATTTATTTTGATAATTTGTAAATTAATTTAAATATAATTAAGCCCGCATGTGCGAACAAACCGCCTAGTACAATATTAATTGAGAATAAACCATTCTAACGGCATATATGAATTTTAATTTTAATGACGAAATAATATATATCTATGCTTGCATAATAGAAATTTTATTGGCTAACAAATGAATATTTTATTCTTATTTAACTTTAATCGAATGCCGATACTATCAAATTTTCTTTTACATCAAAGGGAGAATGCAAAATTACTTTCCAATCGCTGCAAAAATAGTATACACTTACACATCATAATAGGTGAATATTAAATTTTGCTACGAAATAAATGATTTTTTTGAAAATATATGTGCATTTGCATCCATGATCCCTTTACTAGCTTTGTCACTGTACATATCATCTATTAGGCCTGGGCATTTTACCCGGACCTGAAGACCCGACACGAAACTGACCCGAAAAAACCCGGTCCGGGTAGAAACGGCCCGATCAAATTATCCTATCAGATCTTGTTGTAGAGGACCCGCGGGTCTTGGATCCGACCCAGACCGAACCCGAAACCCGATGAGTACCTGAATTAATAATCTAAATAAAATAAAATGCATTGAGGGGGAGTCAAAGACGGGTTGTTTCTATAGAGAGTAAAGGGGTCAACCACTAGGAGAAAAGAATTTTTGTTGTATCTCGCGTAGTTTAATATATATACACATTTTAATATAATAAAAACATAAATTTTGAATAAAATTTTGAATATTTTCGTATATATAAATATTTTCAGATATTTTTTGTATATTTAGGTATTTTTTAGGTCGAACCCGACCCGGAACCGAACCGATAAATTCTAATTACCCGAATGGGTCCAACTATCTAAGACCCGACCCGACCCTTAATAAATAAAATATCGTTCAGTGATTTTTCGCAACGGAGCTCTCACGTTAAAAGTTGAAGTGGTTAATATCGTTTATACCCTTAATAAATAAAATATAAATCCGCTAAAAATAAAAACGAATTTAATACTTATTTGATTAGATAAATGATTTAAATTAATAATAATGATAAGAATTATCCATAATATAAATATATATTTAAAAATAAAATAAAAATATAATTCTTATATATTGTGCTGTTATCCGAAAAATATATTTTTGATAAAAAATTAAAAAACAGAAAACACATAAATAAATATTCATAAAATAAATTTTTAATTGTATATAATTCAAAAGAGAAATTGAAAAAAATTAGAATACGTAATTATTTTCAAATTAAAATAATAGAATAATATAATAATATAATATAATGATATATATTCGTGAAGTTATTTTTCGCCTCTGAACTCACACGTTAAATTAAATTTATCTTTATATTTTATATAGTTAAACCTTAAACATGAATTAATCATATAAAATAAAAGATCATTCAAAAAGAAAGAATATACGTGTTTGACAAAAATAAATTCAAATATATTGTATTATTATCCAAACTAATTTTATACTTTCTGTAGGATCAATTTTTGAATGTATATTTATCGATTCAATTTTTCAAATTGAAAGATAGATCTCTATAGTTTTTATTAATTATGAAGAAATGAAATAGACTTTAGATTTTTCAAAATTTTAAAGTAAAACATAGATTTTGTTTAAATTTTTGAATAACTTTATCAATGTAAAAAAGTTTAATGTTTTAGGTCGAATTATTTGGATGCAAATAGTTATTTATTTTGATAATTTTTTAAATTAATTTAAATATAATTAAGCCCGCATGTGCGGAAAAACCGCCTAGTACAATATTAATTGAGAATAAACCATTCTAACGGCATATATGAATTTTAATTTTAATGAAGAAATAATATATAACTATGCTTGCATAATACAAATTTTATTGGCTAACAAATTAATATTTTATTCTTATTTAACTTTAATCGAATGCCGATACTATCAAATTTTCTTTTACATCAACAGGAGAATGCAAAATTACTTTCCAATCGCTGCGAAAATAGTGTACACTTACACATCATAATAGGTGAATATTAAATTTTTCTACGAAATAAATGATTTTTTTGAAAATATATGTGCATTTGCATCCATGATCCCTTTACTAGCTTTGTCACTGTACACATCAATTATGACCTGAAGACCCGACCCGCAATTGACCCGAAAAAACCGGTCCGGGTAGAACCGGCCCGATCAAATTATCCTATCAGATCTTGCTGTAGAGGACCCGCGGGTCTTGGATCCGACCCAGACCGAACCCGAAACCCGATGAGTACCTGAATTAATAATCTAAATAAAATAAAATGCTTTGAGGGGAGTCAAAGACGGGTTGTTTCTATAGAGAGTAAAGGCGTCAACCACTAGGAGAAAAGAATTGTTGTTGTATCTCGCGTAGTTTAATATGTATACACATTTTAATATAATAAAAACATAAATTTTGAATAAAATTTTGAATATTTTCGGATATATAAATATTTTCAGATATTTTTGTATATTTAGGTATTTTTTAGGTCGAACCTGAACCCGACCCGAAACCGAACCGATAAATTCTAATTACCCGAATGGGTCCAACTATCTAAGACCGACCCGGCCCTTAATAAATAAAATATCGTTCAGTGATTTTTCGCAACGGAGCTCTCACGTTAAAAGTTGAAGTGGTTAATATCGTTTATTCCCTTAATAAATAAAATATAAATCAGCTAAAAATAAAAACGAATTTAATACTTATTTGATTAGATAAATTATTTAAATTAATAATAATGATAAGAATTATCCATAATCTAAATATATATTTAAAAATAAAATAAAAAGATAATTCTTATATATATTGTGTTGTTATCCGAAAAATATATTTTTGATAAAAAAAATTAAAAAACAGAAAACACATAAATAAATATTCATAAAATATTTTTTTTTAATTGTATATAATTCAAAAGAGAAATTGAAAAAAGTAGAATACGTAATTATTTTCAAATTAAAATAATAGAATAATATAATAATATAATAATATAATAATATAATAATATAATAATATAATAATATAATATAATGATATATATTCGTGAAGTTATTTTTCGCCTCTGAACTCACACGTTAAATTAAATTTATCTTTATATTTTATATAGTTAAACCTTAAACATGAATTAATCATATAAAATAAAAGATCTATCAAAAAGAAAGA